TTTTCGATTAATGGCGTCTTTAAGGCGTGGCAGTGGTCCGATTACGTCCATCTACGAACTCGCCCTCTCTTTTTTGCCAAGGAACACCTGTACATTTTTACTCAAGTTTTAGCTTGCACAGACAGACGAATGGACGGGCAGGCAGACATTCGGATTTCAACTCGTCTCGTCATCCAGATCATTTATATATAGTATATATGTATATAATCTCGATAAGTTTTGGGTGATACAAACAGCTTTTAGGTGAACAAAATTTTACACTCTGTAGCAACATGTTGCAGGAGTATAAAAATCACTCCTTTTATAAAAATCAATAGAATATAAAATCGGTAAGTGCTACCCAAATATCGATAACGAACACTAAAGAATTCCAAATAAAAATGGCAAGAAATGATTAGAGATGCGAGGCGGTACACGCCAATATTTGCTGTCCATAGATATCTGTAGGCAAGCTCACCTGCGCAAATACTCTTACATTTTTTTGAAGAAGCACATTTGTAGAGCATGCATGTCTGTGTATGGTATAAAAACTGATTTCTAAGGTGCGGTGAAGCTTAACTAGTTCAAATCGAACGTAGATACTTGTGTTAACTGCGCAATGATATTTTTTACCGCTGATAGCATTATTGATACAGCTTTTAGAGCGAATGTATTTTTGCTGTCATTTGATTGTTTACCTTTTTCGCATTGTTGTTTTTTTTTTCTAACCTCATATGTACATATGTATGTTGAAGCATGTGCGGTTTTTATTGTGCATAAAAAGACAAAACAAGTTCAAAACAACTTTTTTTTAATACAAGTATCCAAATACATATGTATGTACATACATATGGGTACATATGTGAATTAAATACGAAATAGAATGCAATTTATAAACATCAAAAGATGGCAGACACTACCAAGCCTCCCAGAAAATTATTTTAGTCAGAGTCTTTCACAATTCGAATTCAGTGAGAAATTGTGTAGACTGTGGAATCATCCAGTGCGTACAAGAGCAAGCGTAGCTTGACAGCGTTTGAATGAGAGTACAACTTAAAGAGCGTGTGATTGTGAAATTATAATTTTTATTGCATATGATTATAAAACTCGTATTTATATGCGATGTAACTGAATTAGCTTGCACACATTTTCATTTAATAATTTTGTTGATTTGCATAATTCTCAGAATTATTTAATGTGAGTTGGCATTTATTTCAAACTAAAAGCGCCTAAACATTTGTAGCTTCCTAAACAGAGTTGCGAATTTCTAATTTAAAATATGTTGCATTAAAAATGTAAATTTTAATATTTAATTCTTATTTTGAAAAATGTTTATATTTTATCAGTTATTAATTTTGATTTTTGGAATTATAATTAAAAATTAAATTTTCAATTTTTAATTCAAATTTTGAGAACCTTTTTTATTTGTTTAATTTTGATTTTTGGATTAAAATCTAAATTTCAATTTTCGGAAATTTTTGTATTTCATCAAATTTTAATTCCGATTTTGGAACTAAAATTTAAAATTTTATTTCTAATTTCAATTTTTGGGAATTTTTTTTACTGAATAAACTTTTAGTTTATTTTTTGGGATTTAAAATTAAATTTTCATTGCCAAATTTCTAATATTGAAATTAAAAATTTATAAAATATTTTTTAATTTAAAAATTGGAGTAACAAAAAATAAAATATAAAAAAAAAATATAATATACAATAAAAAAAAAATTTATATTAAAAAATAAATTTTTTACCGCCGTCGCAGATCGTTGTGTAACTAAAAAAATATTAATTTTTTTTTTCTCAAAAATTTAAATGAGTATTTTCTAAATATGTACATACATATGTATATCATTTAAACTTTAAAACCATTTATATAGTGACTTTTGTATTTCCGAAGTCGGCTTTTTTAGGCCCCTTAATTAATTTAAATGCGCTGGTTTGCTGCTTTGGGTAAAGTTATGTTCATTTATATAAATTACGCATAACTTTGAAACATACATAATTTGAAAATAGTGGAAAACACTGCTTGTTATTAATTTTAATTGTCATTCATCAGAAAGAAAGCGCGTTAACAATGTGTAATTGAAAATTATTTATTATAAATCCTAATTAATATTTGTATGTGCATTTTACTATACTTTCAAATCACAGCCAATCAACGTCGCAAGCGAGTAGAGAATTTTAAAGCGCGTTTCACCCTACACTGAAACGTGCTCGGCACTAATGCTACTCGTGATATGTGTGACCGAGTGCATGCCTGGGCTTGACTGATGGCCGGTGCAATGTGAAAGGGGTGCAACAAATTATAAAAATGCATTGCGCCCTATTATTGCGTTTTGGTGCTGTTGTTGTTGTTTTTTGATACAGGCTATTTACAATTCCATTTCATTTGCACTGCAATGGCGGTAAAGCAATGTGTAAGTGCAATTAATTGGAAAATAAATTGGTAATAGAAAAATACACGAACGCGAACGCACCAGCAACAACAACAACAACTGCAAAATGAAGGAATTCATTTAGAGCGGCAGTAACATGCCTTTACACTTTACTTAAATGGTTAAATGACAGGAAAATAAATATATAAATGGTGAACAAAAACAAAAAAAAATTGAACAACAATTTTGAAAGCAGTGCTTGAATGACACAGTGCTGAGCGAAGCAAGTGGTAAAATGACGAACAGGCGAACGACCTGCAGTTGAAACGAACGACTAGTAAAGACGACGCGTTCCATATAGGTTTACCAGCGATAATGTTTGAAAAAAATAAAAAATCAAAAAAACAAGCTGCACAAATAAGTAATAAAAATTATAAATTATCAAGTAATGAAATAAAAATAGGAGAAGACATTGCCTAAGTAACCGTGGATTGGAGTTACAAAAGCGGCGTTTGCAAGTTGTGATACGAAAATAAATGAGCTGGAAATTGTTGTAAGCCTAAATGGATATCGGAGAAAGTAAATGCATATAAGAAACTATATAGGTTTATAAATATATTTTGGTTTTGGGCGAATTTAATCACGTTTTTTTTTTTAATTTGTAGGCATGGCTGCTAAAAATTTATAGTAAATATCGCTTGATCTGGAAGACAAAAATTCTTTTGATTTTATTTTTTTATTTTACATTTTTTCATTATTTGTTAAAACTTTATTATTTTCTTTGCGATTACCACATCTATATATAAAGAGCCGAAATGTGGAAAATGTAGCGAAAAAAGTTCAATGTCCTTGAGTAGCGAAAATAAACGCAACTCAAATCATCCCCGTTTTGCCGCTGACAAGTTGTACAAATGAAAGAAAAAAACAGATCGAAGGTGAAATGTGTTGCAATCGGCATGGTGGAGATGCGAATGTGCGCAAACAAATAAAATAAATAAATAAACATAAAACCAACATAAACCTGCTATAGCGTCGGTATTACTGCATACTTGGACTGTTCAATTTAAGCTGATTTGAGGTATGCACAGTGTGTAAATTACAACAATTAAATTGGCAAAAAAAAAAAAATTAAACTAAGATAAAACTTTAACTTGCGCTACATCACAGCTATAACCCTTCGCAGGTGCATGTTTTATAAAGATCTTTATCGTAATTTTGATCGGCGAGTTTGTATGACAGCCCTACGCTATAGTCGTTCGATCTATACAAGTGTATGCGAGATTCCAACGTTGTCTTCGAAAGTTATCTATGCAGAATTTTATGAAGAGATCTTCTCAAATAGAAAAGTTTGATCTAGCAGAACTTGATTTTGATCGGTTGTTATTGTTGTTGTTGTAGCGGCAGAAAACATTCCTGAAGTAATTTCGAGGAATGGTGCCGAGTTGACAGTCCTTGGCCGGATAAAAATCCGTGTCCGTTCCGGTTACTTAGGCCTGACTGTCGTGGGAACGGTTTGTATGGCAGCTATATGCTATAGTGGGCCAATCTGAACAATTTATTAGGAGATTGTAGCATTGTCCTTTACAATAATCCACGATTTTCATCGATGAGTTTGTATGCAGCTATATGTATATATTAATTAATTTTGTCTAAACGTAATCAGTTTTTGAGACGATGTTTGACTAAATCTATTTCATAAATAAACATATCTACATATATGTAAATACGCCTATTTAATAAATAAATTCTACAACAAAAACAATATAAATATATTTTTATTAACAAAAAATAAATGTTTTCAACACCACCGAGTACACAATTATCTCACATATCCTTGTAACCATTGCCTTGGCAGTTGCTACATATGTGCATATATTGACATTGTACTACGCGAAGTTGGCTGTTCAACACACAGACGTCAAGTTGCCGATGACTCATTTTGTATGTCTGGCAAAAAGAAAAAAAAAGGGCATACATACATATATACACCCATGTACATATGTATATGCAGCGTATTAAATGAAAAGAGGAGCATGCAACCAGTACAACAACCCGACAGGCAACTAACTCGTCCAAACAAATCAGGCTTCCCACTTGCATTTGTTGCTCCCCTTTCAATGACGACGACAATGGCAACGCTGCTTTGGCAATGGCGTTGATGGTGATGATGGGAAAACGCTGTTGCTGTGTTGCGGCTAACAGCCAACGCGCGCATGTCGCGTTTTTATATACACTGGCCGACTAAATAACTGCCACTGCCAACCCACTTGTATTAACCAACAAACAAGCAAGCAGCCTGCCTAACAGCCAACTTGTCACATCTACACTTCCTTTGTTCCTTGCATACATACAAGTAGCTTGAAATATGTATGCATGAATATTATATTCATATGTAACTGCTTTATTTCGTTTGTTTGACTTTATTATGTAGCGCTTCATTAATTTGATATTTGCCAAAGTTCTTAAGATAATACTAATTCGTGCTAAAAAAAAAAGTTTTTCATGTTTTCGTATTAATTTTTTTTTTGTTTTTATTTATTTTATTTTGATTTTTCATTATCTAAAAATGTAAATATGCATATATTTTTGACTTATATTATGTGCTGTGTTTGTATTTTACTTTATTTTTATTTTCGTTTGACTCACCTTTCTCATTTGGACACACGTTTAACTGCTCATCGTCGCGTGAGACTTGTGTGATTATTGATGTTGCATCCATTTAAGCATAAATTTTTTACTTCCCTCTCGGTAGGCAAATATAAGAGTTTGCCTGCCGCCGCCGTCGTTTTGTGTGTTCGTGTTTAAAACAACAACAAAAATTGGCAAACAAAATTTTTTTTGCACGTACAAAATATAAATAAAAAAACTAAAATCTTATTCAAAGATATGTTTCACACACACGTTTATTAATTTATGTATTAATAATATTTTTTATGTATGGCTCTTTGAATTTCGTTTCACTTATCGGCTTTTGCTGCTTTGCGCGTGTCGTCGTTAAATATAAATTATTATTATATATATTTTTTTACTTTTTTGTTTGTTTGTTAAAAAGGCGTTTCGCTTTACGGCGAAATTATGCAATAATCTTTAATCTTGTTTTGTAGAAATATCACTTTGTAAACTCAAACGCTTTCTCTGTTCTGTGACTACAAAAATACTGTTGTTGTTTGTGTAAAATTATGTTAAATAAACTTTTATATATTTTTTAAATGTATTTTTCAGCTCAAAGGAACCACAGCAAACTTGGAGAACACAGACAAAACCTGAAAATTAAAGTTAAAACTGTTTTAATTATTTGATATAATAGTCTTTGTATTGCATAAACAACAAAATCTATTCATTAAATATTTATTTAATAATTTACATAATTTATTTGCAATGAATAAATGAATATATAATACCCTTCCCATACTAGAACTTTATATTGATCGGTCAGTTTATATGGGAGCTATATGTAGTAGTGGTCCGATCTAAAAATTTTGTTGGGAAATTGTACCGTTACCTTGGACAATAAATAATGTCAAATTTCGTAAAGTATCTTGTCAAATATTAAAATTTCCCATATAAGGACTTTATTTCGAGCGATCAGTTTGTATGGGAGCTACATATGTACATATATGCTATAGTGGTCCGATATCGACAGTTCCTGCAAACCAGCAGCTTCTTGGAGAGAACAGATCGGGTGCGAATTTTCAGAACGATATCTCAAAAACTGATGTTGATGGATCTTGGCTGAATTTGTATATATATTTTATAGGGTCTTCGACGGGTCCTTCTTTGTGGCAAACTTAATATATCATGTTTGGGGTATAATAATTTTAATGACAATCAGGGGAAACTAACAAACGAAAACTGTTCCAGCGACTTAGACCCTGTATATGTCCGTTCATATAAAAGTCGGGTTTACGTAAACGGAACGGATCCAGATTGTTTCGGGCCAAGGACAGTCAACTCGGCAAAATTCTGCCGCTACAACAACCCTGTATATGTATGTATTTATATTCACATTCGGGCAGACATAGCCCGATTAGTTTCAGGCCAAGGACTGGCAATTCGGCCGATTTCCTCAAAATTATTTGATAATGTATTTTACCGTTACAAAAATAACAACAATCGATTGTTTGAGGTTATATATTTAATATATATAAATATCGAGGCACATAAATACATACATGCATATGTACTATGTATATGAGTAAATATTTTCAAAGCAGTCTACAGTTAAAAATTTATAATCTGTAATCTTATCTTTTCCATTGAGCGTATGACAACTACTTTACTATAGCCAAGGTGATTGATTGTGTATTATACCAAAAAGGGTATACGTAATATTTTTTATAATTTAATTATTAAAATTATTGAAAATTATAATAAATAGTACTAATGTAAATAACCTAACATAAAAAATGTGTACGAAAAGTCTATGATATATTAAAATTTTTTTAAGTTGAATCAGTAAAGGCTAATATAACGGATTGCGCAGATAGCAAAACGCTTTACACAATTCATAACAATCACGCACACATGCAAACTTTTTCACATAAATACACATCGGGCAAATTGCGAAAGAGTTCGTCAAAATGCCTATCTGCGACGAAGCACGAGATGCAGCGCTGCCTCAGCCACTGCTGACGAGCAAGTGGCACTTGCGCAGCGCAACTTCGTATCAAAACGCATTGACTGAACAGCAGCGCAGTCAAATACAGTGTACCACCAGAGAAAATAAATGAATGTTGTTTTAAGTTCTCTGGTACAACTGACTTCGCACGATGGCTTACGAAGTAGCAGCATAGCAATGCAATGACGTTGTAGTTGACGTTGAGTATGACTGCAGCAACTGACAACTCGTTTTGAATTTAAATTTTTTCGAACTTGACGTAGGAATATAGCAAAGAGGAATACCAAGCAATGATAAATCTAAAACAGAATGACAATAAACTAACTAAACAAAGGAAAAAAGTTCGTATAATAGTAGTGTTAGACGCCAAATAAAACTAAATATTTAACATAGATAGTAGATATGTGAATTACTTTGCATGATTGCCGCCCCTTGAGCCCACTCTTTACCGCAACAACTTACAAAAACTTCATTTCAGCACACTCAAGTCACTTTGATTGCCGTCGTCAGCAGCTTTGCAACCACTTCACCCGATTCACTTGACTTCATCAGCGTCGCGGACAAAGCAAAGTAGCGCAGCGCGGCATAGTATAGCAATGCGTATGATTTGCATATAAAACAAGACGACGCGTGCTCATTTGCAGTAAAATGAAATTGTTTTATGTACTACTTCGCTAAGACAAGCAAATATGTACATATGTAGTTGATGATACTAAAAGTTAATATATACATATATATATAGTAAACAACTGGGTACAGAAATCGCAATATGCACGATAGCGACCATTTTGCTGTGCTTGTGCAGTGTTGGCTACCACAACGGCAACGGCAACGGCGGCGACGGCTGTAGAAGTCCCCTCAGACATTTTATGCTCTGGGGCTATGTGTTTGTTAGCTTATTTTTGTCACTTCCCTTTGCGGTTTACATTAAGCTGCTAGTTATATTAATAAAAATTTATGCACTCGTCTATTTTCAGACACAAAACGAGGTTGTGTTTATTTCTTGCGGTTTTAAGTGGAATAATTTATTACATAGAATTCATTAATATGAAATTTTTATACAGAATCATTAACATATTGTAAATAATATTATGTTATAAACCTATTGAAAAAATAAATGAAATTAATTTGCACAATTGATCAAACATACTGCCCCAAAAAACCTAATATAGATTCAAAGGCAAGAATACAGAGCAGGCATTTACGATGCTGCTAGCGTTGGGTACGTTGACGCCAACGTCGACGCGGAAACACTATTGTTATGCTGCTTTAATTATAATTCATTTTTGATTGTTATCGCTCCCGCTGTTAACCTTACACTACATTTGAGTATTTGAACAAGTACTTTACTCGAAATGCACATTTATTTATTTATTTATGGTGATTTTTCAAATAATTGCGTATTTATGATTTAGGTGGTCAAAGACTAAACAAGTGTTAAATAAGAATGACGTTGTAAAACTTGGAAAAATTGTCTATCAAACAAAAGTTAACTGTATCGAAATATATGCGCTAATACTCAATATATTTATGCATAAATAACTCATATATAATGTCTGCACACAACTTTTATGCAACTCTTTTTCCACAAATAATTTTTATATGCAATATTTTTTGCCGTAACTCCGTTCCTTTTCATTTCGCATATTAATCCTGTCTCACTGTGAGAAAACTCTATATTTCTAATAAAAGCATAAGCATTTTACATATATACACGTATTATTTTCTATTCCTTTCTACAGCCACTTTTATCTGCTTTTGTTGCTGCTTCGTCTTTTATCTCATAACACTCAGTCACCGTCTTCGCTTCCGTCTCCATCTACACAAATGTCTGCTGCTACCTATGTATTTACACTTTTATTGTTTTTGCTTTTGATCGCGTTCAACAGCAGTCGCTGCCGGCGTCACCGCCATTGTCGATTCTGCTTCTGGCACCGCGCTCGTCGCCGTTCAGTGACTGCTTTTGGCTACCAGCCACTTTTAAGGTGTGCGCAACAGTTCGGAAAGCGGAACGCACACAAATATATGTATATAAGAGTCAAATACACACATACACTCATTACCGCTGCACACAAAGGAATTTTTGGAGGCGACGATTGAATGAACTAATACGCTTACACTCTCTATTACATGCATACATATATACGAAAAATATTGTAAAAATATAGTGAATTTGAAAATATTTACACTTCACTTTATGCGTTTTCCACTTAAACACGTCTATGCTTTATAGCCGGTCCTTTAAGATTCGTTTTATTTCGACACTAACTAGTCTGTTTGATGATTATCGCACTCGTTTCGTTTCAAATTTTTATATAGTAGAAAAAAATAAAAACAAAAAATTTCCGCCATATGCAATCGTACGCGTTTAAACCGTATAACACAACACCTTTTCTCCTTGTAGTCTAAAAGAAACTGAACAAATTACGAACAATTTATGAAAATAGAACCAGTGAACAAAAGTGTGCACAATTTTATTCAAGAATCACGAACTAAAGCAGAATTGTGAATAGAATTGCCAACTGCTCCTATCACTGAATTGGCAGTACTGAAAAAATACAATGCAGAGAATGGAAAATCAGAGAATGTTGATGATATATATATAAATATTCATTTACGTTCTCTGGTTGTGGTGAAATTTTATTTTCCAATTTGCGCGTTTTCGATGTTCCTTCTTAGCAATTAACATTTTAGTACTGCTAACATTTGCTCCTTCTCTATTCATTTACGTTCTCTGGTTAAGGGAGCGTATGTTTACAGATTCACCGCTGTTATAAAAGCGAGAAATGTTATTTGTTTCTCGTGCATCTGTGGTGAACTCCTTGATAAATTCCTACAAATTGTTCGCTGTCGAACCTGCACCTTCTCATTGTTTTAAGTTCTCGGGTTTTAAGTTCTCTGGTTTTAAGTTCTCTGATTTTACATTCTCTGCCATCTGTGTTCCAATTTTCATTATATTCCTTTTGTCACATGAGTTTAGCAATTATACTATTTTGTTATTTTCAGCCACATGCAGTGAAATTAATATTTAGAACTAAAGTAAACAGCTGAAACTTGAGATTTATCTAACATTAAAATATTAATTAATGCTTTTATTTGTACAGCATTGTTCCACGCATATTTGTAGCCGCGAATGTGATATTATCATCGAGTTAACAGTGTGAAAATTGTTAAATTGCTGAAGCGGTAAACATGTAATTATATAATAACAGTGTTATTTATTATATATTAGACTTAATTCCTGACAAACTCAAATATTTTTGAATTAATTATTATAATAATCTATTTTTTTTTGTTATAGCGTAATTATATAGCTGGCAACTGTACGCCATAATGCTACGTACCACAACCGACGTTTTATCAAGGCTCACAATTAATGAGTTGAAAACCAGCAGCTCCGCTTTTGCATTGGAATTCGTGCGTTGGCGCCGAAAGCCACGTTGGTTACCAGTGGCAAAGAGTAAACTATATCGCGTGCCCGAACGTAAGGAACAAAATGCGGAGGAAAAAGCAGAACTCATGCGTTTGCATAATAATTACAAGTATGCACATATGCACATATATTTAATGTTTTTTATATTGTAAATATGTTTTTCTTTGCATTAATAGGCTGCAAATGCGCTCTTTACGACAGTATCTACGTGAAGAGGTTTTACGTTTGAATGTAACATCCACGGCTGATCACATTGTGCTTACGCCGGAGCAAGAAGAAGCCGAATTCGCACGTTGTATGCAAGAGAACGAAGCATGGAATCACAAAATTTCGGTCGAAAGAAACGAACGTTTGTTGAAGGAGCGTGCGCAACAAGCAGCCAAAATACGTGAACGTTTAGAAGCGGCACGTGTGCGTGAAGAGGAGCGCATGGAACGTATTGAGGAAATAGTTAGGCGTGAAAAAGAATTAGCGAAAACATTTATAACCCACGAAAATCTTGAAACTGCTATTGAACAGGCCTTAGCCAATACAGTTGACTATAATTTCTCTATAGATTTACAGGGTAATATCTATCGAGGACGCACCACTCTGCCAGATGGAAAAGGTACGCCAGCCAACAGTGGCGTGCCAGATAATGAAGTCCGACAAACAATTGAAGCTAGTAATTAGTCAGTTAATGCTTTAAAATTATGTTCAATTAATAAAGTGGAAAATATATTGGCCATTGTCTTACAAGTAGAAATTCGTGAAAATTTAAATTTCAACTTTTTTCGACCTTTGTTTAAACTTAGCTTAAGTGTTAAAAGAATGAGATGTTTTTCTCACTTTGTTCTAACTCACAGTTTAGCTTTATTTATTACACATGTACATGACATGTACAATACATATGTTTTTCAAAGTAAACAATTACCTTTTAACTTTTTATTTTACAAAAAAAGGTATCAATTGTTGATAATTTCTTAACGCCTTCCCAATATTAATTTCACAAAATTAGCTTCAGGGAGCGCTTTCTCGGCTTAAACTACAGTAACTTAGAAATAGTCGCCGAATTAACATATAATTTATAACTAAATTTATATAAAAGTTATAATGTTCGCAGTGCTATGCAGGTTTTGAACGCTGCCGTCGATCTTCTTGTTCCATTAAATGCTCCCAGTCGGGCGTGACTGTCAGTTTCGCTTGTATGGAACCGAGATTAATCATATTGCCACTACGTTCTTCTCGGTTGGTATTGATGGACATGAGGTCCTGAAATATGTAAACGTAGTTTATTAAAAAATACCAAATATTTTTCAACTAAAACTACGTACTTGTAGGAAACCAGTTTCAATGCCCATATTTAAATCGAAATACGTATTGCCTAAAACCAGCTTTACTTTCCCCGACTTGTAGCGTAGTAATCTACCAATTTTACCCTCTTCCAAATCTTTCATCGATGTACGCTTCGTTGGTGGTTTTGTAGCAGGTGGATTTTGTGATGTAGAGGGTGTGTCTGCAGTAATGTTCTAAAAATAAGAATACATTTGTTATTAATAACTTTTCTAATTACAAAATTAAAAATTTCAAAAACCTTTTCATGATGTGGCTTTTCGATAACTTCCTCCACATCGTCTTCACAAGGCAACACATTTGGCAGCTAAACAAAAAATTTGCAAACTTAAGTAAAAATTTTATTTAAATACTTGTGTTTAGCCACGCACCTGTAATAATAATAGCTGTGATTGTGTTCGGTCTAGCAGTTCAGCAACGGACTCTGGATATCGCTCCAAGGCACCGTTTGTGCGTTGTTGCTGCTGCTCTTCTCTTACAACCTGCGTTTGCAAATTTTGTGCAATAGCGACAGCGGATTCTATGCAACAAATAAATTTAAAAAGATGTTAATAAAATAAAAATAATATAAATTATAATTATTACTAATCTTAGTTACTATATGGTATGATAGGGTTCAATAAATTTTCTTGTAAACAGTGCGAATTTGTTGCTGTTTTATTTTCCTCTTTAAATATTGTTTGCAGTTATTCTTGCCCACTCACCGATATCTTCACAAATTTCAGCAGCTTCATTTTTTACTCCAGGCTCTACTTTCTCTTGCTTAACTTCAATTTTTATAGGCTTCCACTTGGCTAACGGGCGCAAGTGTAAGTGTATGATTGTTTACGTTTGCATGTATGAATGTGTGCAGAGGGTGAAAAGTGTATAAGACAACCCAAAAAAAAGTAAACATTAAAAAAATGTAAATTGATTAGGGTGCTGCGGCAGACTTTTTCAAACGTCAAACGAAAGCAGTTAATAGTCGTAATCTTCGCAATTGGCGCACAATGAACAAATGGCTTACTTAAGCGCATTGTGTCACCTTTGTTTTTATACAAGCTCGCAATATTGCTAATATACCAAATGAACTTGTCCAAATCGAGTATATACACATGTATGTATATTTCGACTTTTCACACCTTTGGTTTCCACAAAATGTTATTTCACAATTTCAAAAATACTTACCATTACTGAGTTTGACCGGCATCATTTCTAAATCAGTCTTTTCATTTACTAAATCATCTTCATCTGTATCACCAAGTAGTTCACGCAGTTGCTCTTCATCAGCTTTCGTATCAATTTTTTTCAAATGTTCCTGTTTTATTATTGTTGGCCGACGCATTTGTGAGGCGGCATCATCGACATTTCGACTGCCGAAACCTGAGCCGCCCGAGCTCGCTTTACGTATGTTTATAGCACCAGCACCTTCTGAAAACACACCAGTAGTTTGTATGAGCGATGAATTGGCACCGCCAGCAGCACCACCACGTCCACCTCGCGTTCCACTGCCGGCACCACGTCCACCTCGCGCACCGCGTCCACGACCACCGCGGGCTGTAGTGTCCTTTGATGTTTTGACATTGCTAAAAAAAAAGTATTGATAATCAACTAATTAATAAATTTACACTATTTAATTTCATCCTTTACAACTCACGTGTTCTTGTTGCGCACCACATTGAGGTTGGGCGTGAATACCTTTTTTGCTGCATTAGGACCGGCATTGCCACCACGTCCACCCAATGTCAAATCACGGGCCGGTTTTAAAGAAGTTAATTTGTGTAGTGTTGGTGTAGTTGCTGCCGAGCTGCCGTTCATGCTTTTTCTTTCGGTTGTTATCTCTAGTGTGTGTAATACGTTTAGTAACAACCGCTTTATTGTTGCCGGGATCCAGTTTTTATGATGTGCGATATAAAGCTACCGTTAGTTTTTGCTGCAACTGATTCTGCTTTTTGGTCAGATGTCTCTTAAATACTTGTTTTGATTCTAATTTGATGCACATTCTCATTCTCAGCGGACATGTGGCAAATAAATAGCACCAGATCTGTAATGTTTGTGGTTTTTGTTGTTATTTTGATTACCTCCTTCGCTATGTGTCAAATTCTTATAAACTTTGCCGACATTCACAATAGGTTATTTTTCTTTCGTCTTTTAAACGTTTACTGTTGAAAACAGTAATTTCAATCTTGTGTTATTAATTATTAAATAAAATTAATACATGAAATAATCTTTATACTTGTTTTTTTTGTAAACTTAATCCAATACTCAAGTCGAGAGTTTTAATATGCGAGGACAAAATCTCATTGATATGTATCGATAACGATAACACAAAGTTCAACTTTCTTCGTTTATAGTAACTGAGAATAAATAAAGAAGAAGAGCGCCTCAATTTTAAATGAAATTATACTTGTAAGCCGGAAGTAAATGATTCCGTAAATTCAATCCAACGATATCTGTTTTGCAGGGATAATGACATTACAAAAGTTTGAAACATTCATAACCATACCTACGTATTCTCTAAGAAAGAAAAGTTATATTTAAATGAAATAAGTAACTTGCGTTATTGAAAGACTCAAATCTACGATTGAGGTAATTCCGAGTTTTACGATTTAATTCCATATGTACATACATGTATACATATATACTCGTATACACATAGTCTATAATTGTATGTGTATAAACAAAATTTTTTTTATTCATCTAATTGATCAGTGATATGCGTTAATGTTGTTATACATTTGGGTGGAGTTCGGCCACGATATTTTGCCATTGAATGTCTCAACTGTAAACCACCTTCGGTGAATTTTTGTGTTGGAGGAGAAGAGGGCCCCATAGGTGGTGGTTTTTCGGTACTTGCTCTCGGCTCCGTTGCAAAACGCACTTTTTCTGTAGTTTCTTCAGTCTTACCTGCTTCAGTTACTTCGGGTTTATAGCAGCGCAGTATTACAAATTTGAAGAAATCAATATCCTTGACATGACCGTAAAAGTCCTCCCGGAATTGCCAATATTTGGGGTAGACCTGATGACGCAACATTGCCGTATACAGTACAGTGCGTTGTTGTTCGCGAAATATACGACGTTTATGATCTTCTAGCTTGATTTTCCAATTATTTTCACTCCAAAGTTGAGCCAAAGCGATACGTATACGTGGTCGTAAATAATATTCGATAGCACTACGTGTTGAGGAAAAAGAAGAAGGTTATGAAGGAAATATTTTATATTAAAAAGTCGTTTAATTACTCGCGTAGGTGTTGTTGTGTCCTCTTGAATGTGTAATCTTCAATGGGCTCCACGAATTTATGTATCTCTGCCGTGTTGCATAAAGCTTTTGGAATCTTGACATACGTGCTGACATACATGAAATATACGGTTAAGGTAAAGGGTTAAAAGCATACAAAAAAAAAAATTCTATTGAAATTTTGGCTTAAATTTGTATTTGGTGCGGTCAGAAGAACGTGCTGTATATGAGATTATTTCGACAACAACTCGTCAAATTGAAGCGAGCGTTTGCCGAAAAAATTCCCGGAATTTTTTACTGTCGAACTCAGCAGGATTTCTAAAATGGTTTCCAACCGACCAAAAAGTTTAGAAGTTGAACGTCAAAAAGAAGACTTTATTACATGCCTTTGAGAAATAAACTATACATGTACATATGTATATGTATCATATGTATTAAACCCATGCAAACAGTTCAGTTATCGCTGACACACAATTCTGAAAGCTCCCAAAAGCTCAGTCTATTTCACCATTGTTTATTGCAAAAATTGAACATTTAAATGCGCCAACTACTTGTCGAGTCTCTCACAGCATATTTGGTGTTAAGTGCATACGACGACGGCAGTTAAACTTACGACGTACAAAAAAAAAAAACAACAGCAATTGAGCACCATAATTTAATAACAATAACAATAAAAGCAAAAAACAAATATGACCACTGAAATCAACGATGTTAGCGTCTATCCCGACTATTTGCGCGAAAAGTACTTCAATCAAATATTGTTACAGTTATTTGGTGAAACGGTAAAATTACGTGATTTACAAGTGATACCACAGAAATCATTCGGCAACTATTGCAGTGATATCTATCGTGTTGCATTGAAATATGCACTGAATGATAACAAACGTAAGGACGGGGAAGTGGTTGCGATGAAAGACGAGTCCAATGCACAAAATGCAGTTACAAGAGCGGAGGAGTGCGTGTTGAATGTGCTCGTCAAAGACTTATTTGATAATTTGTCTTCGATTTCAAATGAGCAATTCATGTACGCACAGGTGCTGCCCGAAATCAATAAGATGCTGCTTAGCTGTGGGCGCAAACCGGTGTCACCGACGTGAGTATTGTAATACTCTCTTTTTCGGATTCGCGCAACTTCGTGCTGCATGCTGCAATATTCCAAACTCCTACTTAACTATAATCGACCCGGATATACCGAATCCATGCCATGCATGCAAAGACTCTCCGCGTGACACTAACCACCTTTTAACCTGATCCATCAAACAAACTCATATAACACTCGTTTCCATATGGTTTTACTTCATCGAAACAAGTTGTTGTTGTGGTTGCGGCGACAGAAACCGTCTTAAAGTAATTTGGAGGAATGCTGCCGAGTTGACAGTCTTTGGCGAGAGACCGTTCCGGTGTTGTCTACCCGACTGTCATGGAAACGGTTCGAAAGAAGTCGTTTCCCGGGCTTTTTGCTAGATGACTTCGATGGCAATCAACTTTTGCCCCCAAGGAGTGTCTAGATACTCTACTAAATTCCTAGCTTAATGAGAACCCACCTTATAATAATAAACAACTGCGGAAATGTGTTTTAAAAAAATGTTTTTCATATCCCTTATAAGCAGATTACCGAACTTATTGTGAACCACTCTACAAGCTCACGTTTCTATATAATATTTTTTTCGTTTCAGTGTATATCACGCTATTAAAAATAACCGAGAAACACATTTCTTCGAAGATCTAACACCACGTGGCTATGTTATACGGCCACGCACTACTGGGTACAACGAGGACGAGACACGTCTCTTATTTAAACGCTTGGGAGAATATCATGCGGCATCGCTCATCTTCAAAGAATCTGTAAGTACCAATTCAACAGAATTTGTTTTTCCCAAAGAAGCACTAATAAAGTTGATCACCGTTAGCACCCTGGGATTGAGGGTAAAATGCGTGAATTCTATGCAGTCAGCGATCCAGCTCTAGAACTTTTCATTGAGAATCAAATGTACGACAACATAGAGTATGTCGTTAAGATTATAGAAACCTGGCCGGGTTATGAGAGCATCATCGCGAAAATGCGTACAAATACACGAGAAGTGTTTAGCGGTAAATTCTTGCCATTATTTGATCGGACGCAGTCTAAATTGAATTTGGTCTTACATGGTGATATGTGGATAGCCAATCTACTGCTGAAGTATAATAGCGACGACGGCAGCGCAGAGGATGCAGTCTTCGTAAGTGGCTAATGCGAAAAATGTGTGTATATAATTATGTCGATAATTGTTCCCCCTTCTCTTCTAGTTGGACTATCAGAACAGCAACTGCGGCAGTCCAGCCTTCGATATACACAATCTTTTCATGACGAGCGTGCAATTGCCGGTGATGGCGCAGAGTTATGATGATATCATTGCCGATTATTATGTCGCTTTTCGTTCGACTCTACTTGCGCTCAAATATCCTGCCGAGCGTGTGCCAGTTTTGCAGTGCATTCTTGATGAGCTTCGTCGCACCGATTACTTCAATTACTATTTACTTATATTTCCATTCGCTCAGACGATGCTCGGCGATGAATTGGTAAAAAGCATGAATTTCAATACTCTCCATGATGAGAAACGTATGGAAGCCAATCGTGCCAATATCTATGGCAACGAGCGTGTCCTGGAGACGTATAAATATATGCTGAAGGCGTTCGATGAGAGAGGATTGCTGGACTGATGTGATGTACTTATATGAGGTGAAATCTTTTATTTTCATGACAAAAACACTATGCGTGTATTACAATTACAAATTTTTTAAGCAAAATTAAATTTTTAATAAATTATTAATATAGGCCAACGAAATATATTTCATAGCAGTGGGAGTTCTTTTACCCCCTAGCTTTAACTACTCATCATATATGTATTAAGCAATGCTTTTCTGTAAAGTAGGTCTCAGTGGTGGTGATAACATACTCATTGCTCTCATATTTTGACCATGTGAATGAATATTTCAAGTTTGGATACAAAAATAAGTCGCAAAGATCAAAAACTGGAGAATACGGTGGATGGAGCAGCAGTTTCTAGACTATATTGATCAGTTTGGCCGTAGATCACATCTTTTGAATCACAGAAAATAGAGGCCTTTATCTTTCTGAGCGTGATCCGAGTTCATGCATCTATTATGTGTCTGACGTTTTTAGGAGTCCAGCTTACAGTTAAATACAAGAAAGCTCAGTATTCTCGCTCTAGGTAAACGCTATTATAATGCCCATTCATTCTATTATTATTATTATACACTCTAATATTAAGTACCTATTTATATTGACAAGATAAGGTTGCAACGAAAATGCATGTGTCATACGCTTAATAAATCAATATAAAGATTTATCAGTCGTACATAAGTATGTACAATATATATATTCACTTTAAAGGAACAAAGAAGTTTAAATAAAAACACAACTATTTGTGATATTGTATTTAAAAAAATAGTAGTCTGAATAACTCACATTTTGAAAAATTCTATCTTACCTTCTAAGAGATACAGTTGAGTCTATAAAGCAGGTGTCTGGTGTCAGTTGACGTCGGAAGGTCTAAGGTAAGTCGTATATCATATGTTGGGATTCCGAAGCCTGTCTTATGATCCTAGGGTCTGTTCAAAAACGATGTGAATAGTTGTTAAATGACCTCCCGATCATCTTCTTTAGGTCGCGTTGATGATGATGGGACCCTAGATAGGCTTGGTGATAAATGGCTTATTTAGGTGATTTCTGAATATGCTGTTGGTAGTTGGGGTAGAAAAAGATGATCCTCGCGTTAGTATCTTAATTTCATCAACTTGTGAATATTTGCGTTTTCGATAACAGTGTATAGTACGATTTCCAAAGCTCTAAATCCGTACTTATTTCAATTCATACTAAATAAGTATTTTTTTTTTTCAAAAAGTATTCGTTTTTGACGCGAAATTGTTTGATAATATTTTCAATTAAACAAAGTCGCAATAGACTTTTGAATTAAAAAAAAGTAGAAGTGTGGGCGCGCTTATCTCAATTTCACAATCCCAAGCATATAGTGAGAAGAGAGCGATAATGACTGTTTATAAAAGCTTCGCTAAAAAGCTCTACCCATAGCTATGTACAAATATACAAGTATACACATATATAGGGTTTGGGATGAGCACCTGCAATATTTGAAATCAGTTGGAAGCTCACTCGTGCATCGGTGGTATTGTGAGCGAACGTTGAACGGTAGTTTGGAAGAGCGTTTGCTAAAACATATATAGTAATATATATATAGTAATATATATAGTAACAAACACGACGTTGAGTGCGTAAGTAACTATTTAAAAATGTCCACAAAGCAAACCGAAGCGACATTAATATCGCCCTACCTCAATGCGGACTTTATTAAACATGCACTGGAACGTCATTTTAATGGCGCGCTAGATGGCAGCAATCAGCATAAAATCGAAATGTTGGAATGCCAATTTGAACGTGCCACAGCAGAGGGTGAAAACTTTTGTAGCGTCATCTATCGTGCAAAAGTACAATTTCGTTTGCAAAGCGCAGGTGCGGAAAATTCAAATGAAAAGCGCGAAATAACGGTTATTGTGAAAGATGTATTGGGAGAAATCGCCGAACTCGGTTCGAATGAGTTGGCTATGTATAAACATGTGCTGCCGGAAATGCAGAAGATACTTGACCAAGCCGCCGAGAAGCATAAGATTGGTGATGCGGTTGCGACGCAGAAATTTTATGCCAAGTAGGTGTAGTAGTATATCAAAATAATAACAGTAAATTTGAATTTTTCATGTGTTTTTTGTTTTTGTTAATTTTAGTTGCTACTTTTGTGAGCGTAATCCACGTGAGATTTATGTTTTAGAAGATCTGAATGACGCCGAATATCGCAGTATGAACCGTTACGTTGGTCTGGATTTAGAGGAGACGAAAGTCGTTCTGAAAAAGCTTGCAATATTCCATGCCGCCTCAATGAAGTATATAGAAAAGGTAAGTGGAGAATGCAGAGAGCAGAGGAGCGTAAGCTTACGTAACATACATGGTCACAGCAGAAGCTTAAAGCTATGCAGCTAATGACTTTAGTGGAGGGGTAGCCATACAATTTCCGTGAAGTAGCCATACAGTAACAAGGTGTTAAGGACTAGCAGAAGGAATTTTTGATTTCGAAAGCGCGATAAGTTTTGAATTTGGGTTATGAAGTGGGAAATTATTATATTAATTGTCCACAACATTCCTTTCCTTAGTAGAAGACGTTGTACTGTATGACTAGGAAAGAGGTTATTACCAAGGTTCGAAAGATTCTGTCTACCCTCATACGTGTTTATGCTAGACCAGTGTTCATTGAGTAGCTGCAATGTCCATCTCTTTCGAAGAAGACAATACTTCGGTCGAGTAGTAAAATTTATACACTGCAAATCGACAGTGGCCACAACGCTTTCTACAATGTGGTATACACTTCCGATCTAACTAAACAAATGATTAAATATTTAGTTTATAGAATTTTTTCCATCTAGATTAATCCTATTCTCGAATCCCGAAGAATACATAAATGTTCTCGAATCTCGTTTAAATTGAAGAAATCTATATTCATAAGAAAGTATTATAAACACAAAACCTCGGGTTTAACACAAAGATTGTGTTCCATCCCTACCGGATCATTTTTTCTCGACTTAACCTTACACTTTCTTTCAGTTCCCCACAGAATCGGCTGCGCTAATGCCTTCAACATTTACAGTAACGGCTAACGGTAAGAACGAGGATGTCATCTCCAATGCTATTTTTGTCGGTGGCATAACAGCGGCGACGAAAATTGTGGCAGAATGGAAAGATTTTGAAGAGATCGCAATGAAAATGCGCACATTTGTCGAAAAATTCGACGCATGCGCCAAGCGTGTAATGCGACCGGAACGTTGCCGCTTTAACGTGATTACGCATGGCGATCTCTGGGCAAATAATATACTAATGAAATATGCGTCAGTAGATGGGAAGCAAGTGCCACACGATGCAGTATTTGTAAGTGGTTAACAGATCAGCTTTCAAGTTTATCAATTGAAGTAATTTTTCAGGTCGATTTTCAAATGGATTTTGTTGGCAGCTGTGGTTACGATCTCAATTTCTTTCTAAACACAAGCGTTCAATTGGATGTCTTGAAGTTACATCGCTATGAGTTACTGCGCCATTATTACACACATCTAAAGGATACACTGAAAATCTTGGGTACCGAAGAATCGGACATACCCAGTGTGCAAGTGGTTATGGAGGAAGTGCGTGATTTGGAATTGGTTAGTTACTATGCGTTGGCATGTGAATTGCCGATATGCTGCATGGATCGTGAGGGTTCAGTAGGTCTGACTTTGCATAGCTTGATTGATCCGGCAATCAAAGAAGAAACACATAAGAAGATGTTTGCCAACAAGCGTGTATTAGATATGTTGCGTTACGGATTGGATCGCTTGAATGAACTGGGTGTTTTAGATTTATTATGAATAGTTTCTAAATAAAAAATTCTTATGAATTTTTACAGAATTTTCATGCAGTGTATGGTATGTTAAGAAATTCGTTTTGCCCTCTGCCATTATATGAACCGGACGAAATAGCAGTCATGTTTGGACTGATGATGAAAGTCTTCAGTTTCGTTATTAAAATAAAATGACAACCAAGTCGAAAGATTTTATCAATTCGAACTCCAATAAAGCATTTCCCTTATAAGGTTAGATGTGCTAAGATGACGAGCGGACCTCGTAAGAAGAAAGCCCTCAGTAGTTTTGGATGCTGCGAAAGTAGATATATGTATATATCGACCTTATCCAGCTAAGATTATATAGTATGGATTTAATAACTTCAAGTAGGGTTTGAAAACATCTTTCTTGTTTGAAAAATGTGCAATAAAAGCGCTATATAGAGTTAAAACCTTGCGAAAAAAGGTTGGTTTTTTAGCATAAAACCCGAAGACCCAAATGTCTACACACATATATGAAATGGTAATTATATGTTACCAATTTTGCATGCCATCTACTACTTACTTGGCAAGCAAAACGAATGGAAAAGTGTCGTTTATCGGTGGCGTACGTTCTCGTTTCGAAGGGAAACGCGGAAACTTCTTCATATCTCTCTCGAACCAAGGATAATCATTTGTCATTAGTTCCTTGACGTTCTTAAGTTGTCGCAGTTCCGTAAAAGTGTTGCCAGCGGAGATATTATATTCCAATGGTGGCGGTAGCTTACAAAGGAAGTGGTATCCTGGTATTAAAGAAGGGATATAAGAAATATATAGTTTGAAAATGAAAAAAAATACTTAAATCAGTCACCTGTTGTGTGACACTCTTCATTTTGGTGCTCCAAAAAATACAATTCACATGATTTAGGCTTTTGATAATTTTTGAAATTCGATATACGATCAACAAAATATTGAAAGAGATCGGTAATATTTTGCTTAAACTCGAAACGCATTTCCAAGGTGTCGCTGTAATGAAAAAAAAATAAAAAATATTTTATTAGCTAATTAAAATAACAATTAAAAATTAAAACTGCTAGTTTATTAAATTAAAAAATCCTACACATACTCGTATATAATTTTTTTTTATAATTAATGTAGTTCGAGCGTTCGTTGTCTAATATCAACTATACCGCAGCAATTTTCCAGTTGATAAAGCATTTTCATTTGCATAGTAGTAATAATAATAAACGCAAATAATATAGACGGTTGTATGTATGTTTAATAATGATAATAATGCTATGAAGGCAACTACGCAGTGAAAAGGAATAGCAAGCTTCAAGCTCAATGTTGCATGAGCCATGCAGTGCATTATAGCTTGCTTGCACATTCACCTATATTTAAAGTACCCTGCAGGAAATCTAACATTACTCAAACTGGTATATTTTTGCAAAATGTGTACTAATTGGGGACGGAAAGGTAAGAGCAGAGGATATATATCGATTGGATTCATTGTGGGAAGAGGGCTTTGTATGCAGAAGTTTGAAAGTTCGGGTTGCACTGCCACTCTCAAAATTATAAATATGGAGTAATTAATAACAAGCAAAAAATTTAACTTCCGCTGCATAGAAGCTATATACCCTTTGCAGGTGCATTTTTACAGTATACAAATATGTTCATTCTGATTTTAATTGGTCAGTTTATATGGCAGCTGTATGCTGGTTGGATATTAATCTCTGTAAAATTTCATGACTATACCTCGCCAAATGAAAAAAAGTTTTGCATCCTCCACTTAATTCCTATCCGTTTGTATGGCAACTATATGCTATAACTAAAACTATCAGCTTTTTTATGAAAGCGAGCTTTTGACACTTTTTGATGTCTAACATTGCAACTAGTTCGCAAGTTCGCATTTTCCTACAGGGTAAACTTATGCATACATTCATTCTGTGATAGCACTAATCATAAATGCAAAGTACCTACACATCACTAGTATTATCGACGACGTTGCACATCTTCTTAACTACGAGTACTATGTTCAGCTGTCTATTACGTTTGCGAGTGGGCGCTTGGTGCGGGTTTGGTATGTCAAAAAGCTATTGGACTGAGTTATACGGAAACGTTGTTGCAGTTGAGTGAGGAAATGTCTATGCCAATGTCATTGCATCGTTAACGAGTGAAAGGGTTTAAGCTGCATGTGTATGAAGTTTGCGAAAGGGAGTTCAAGTGGTGTCTTCTAGCCGATTAGAAATTCTACAGCGTAGTGCCCAACCGATTCGTGTGTAAAAATCTTGAAATTTCTTTTATTGAAGAGTTTGCAAGTGTGGCTTTTGTTGACTGTTATCTAGTCATTTGCACGCAATTTTGCGGTGGAAGCTCTAGTTCAGTGAAGATAAGTAAAAGTAGATTGAGAAATTTAAACATTATTTTTGCGCTAAGATTTCCTATATGCTTTTTAACGGTACGTTGCAAAGAATGGACGTGACTAGTTAAGTAATGTTTAGAAGTGGGATTAAGTTTAAGTTAATACTATAGTAGAAGGGTTTTGACTTTTTCTCAATAAAAATTTCTAGAGCTTCATTTCTGAATATTTTTGGAGAATTGTTGATGTAGATTCTTCGTTTTCAATAAACTAGCGTTTGCAATTTGAAAATCTTAACCTAACAAAAGGTCGTCAGGTATAGACAACTCTGTTCTGTAGAGGTACTTATCTTCAAAATTCGAGAAAGTTTGCCACTATGTCACAGTTTGGACTATCTTGTAGGCATTTCAAACGTCCTAGTGATTGTTGTGAGTCTTTGTAATAACGTATGTTCCTCCAAAGCTACTTCCTGTAAGACTCATCGAACTGGACTTTGTTAATTTGTCGGTGTTGTATGCACAAATCCTCGAGTTTATTCCACCTTGTAATAGAGTTCAGCTTCAACTTGAGGTCGAAAGAAATTTCGTTCCTCAAATGACGGATGTTTTCATAGGTTTTCAAAATGAACTTATGTATATTTCCCTCTTAATCAGGATCCGATTAAGCTATTTTTTTGATACTTATGACATTCTAACTTTTGAAGTCTTCATAGACTTGCACAAGATTACGCTTATCAAACTTACCGCACGTTGTTATTTTCCTCATCATAACGCTCCAACTCCAAGCCGAGTTCACACGCTTCTTCTGTCGTTGATACATTCAAAGCATTACCGAAACTCACTTTTACTACCGTCTGCACGATAATTTCCTCCTCAATCGTATATTTGCCCGAATCAGACATACGCGGTTCACTGCCAGCTGTATAAATTGAACTGCTCTTAGTAGTTGCAGTATTCTTGTGGGTTGTAGTTCCCGCTACATTTTCACCCCCTGTGGCTCGAAAATTTGGTACTTGGTCCTTGTATTGGTCCAAATTTAAATTTTCAATTGTGGGTAATACTTTGTAGATATATGCCGATATACCATCAATGGCCATTAGAGTGATGACAATATTATTTACCGGCACTTCGTACAAGTCGATTTGGACTTCGGCATACTTTTTATGTAACATATGAAAGCTACTATAGCGGCTAGTCACATATGAAGGATCATCATATTTACGTGTCTCTTCACCTTCGCCAGAGATAAAATAGTGAGACATTGTAGATAAAACACGTGAGTGTGGGGATGGCGATTTGACATCGGACACTTCACGTTTAAGCCTTTTACCAGCTTTATTGGATGGTGAAGTCTTATGGGTTTGCTTGTGCGTAGGTGAAGTGCTCTGCGAACGGTGGCCAGCTTTTAGATTACGGCTAGTCTAATGTGAGGGGGAAAACAGTTAGAAGAGTTAAGTAAAAAAATAACAGCGTCTTACTGACAAACTGTCGGAGTATTCGCCATAATCCTCATCCATATGCGAAGAACTCAATGTGACAGCAGTGTCTGAAACATAAAATTCAGATTTGCGAACCGACATCCAATGACAATAAAAATTTCATGCACTTACCAGCGTCGAAACCGAATGATTCAATCTTCTCCTCTATTTTTGTTATTAAAACGGTGCCATCTTTGTGATAACACTTCAGAGAGTCCGCAGTCCAAATCATGCGTACACCATCACCGCGTTCTGCATAGCTTTCGTTCGCAAAATAGTCGTGCCATTCTATAGTAGGCTTAGAGCGACCTTTGTAGACCTGGAATAAGGTAAAGTATAATTTATTAAAGCAAAAACTGAGGGTTACTCCAAATATGTTAAAGAAGAAAAGCTCAAGTTGAAGATACATTCCCCCAATTGGAATAAGAACCTTCGCATATCTTATCTTATTCAATTCAAGGCCATTTCCTTTGATGTTAACGTTTTTATAAATTTACACATCGTCTTTTCGACCTGCGACATGTATTGTAGTATTAATAATTGGAAAACTGAAAAGTTTTAGGGAAGTAGAAGATTCTAACCCACAACAAATCTTGTGTCCTTTAATCCCATCCATAGGCAGATAGAGCCAATCTGGTTACAGAAGCTCTTGGTACTTTCAGGTTATTTGCGGCTAATCAACTATATAAGTGGGTTTAACAGGTAAAAGGAACCCCCAAAAACTTAGTCCAAGATAAGTGAGTTTTTGGCACCTTAGCAGTATTACATATTTTCCAATATTTACTGTAGGCCTTCCTGAATAGTTAAAAACCTGCTTCTGTCGACATGAAATCCGACATAGTTGGTCTTATTCCTCGGGACTATTGAGTTCTTTATCTTCGTTTTGCTCACTCATAATGTTGTTCTTAAGTATATATGTATGTAGTTTTGAGCCGTCTTCGAAAGACAGATCGAGTTTAAGAAAAGCTGCCGAGCAGCGATGTTAAAAATATTTCTCTATAATTTTTGAACTCATCGGTACTGATAACCTACTTTTAACTGACACTTAAAGATTTGAATAAAATTTAGCCTTACAAGATGGCCCTACAAGTTATAAGCCGGGGTTAAAATCAGGTGCTGTTTAAACTCCACAGTAAGGACCACAGTAAGAACAACTACTCTACTCACCTTACCGCGATGTGTGAGATTCACGATATTTCCATTTGAGGTAGTTACAATTAGATGCAAGTACTTGAGCGAATACTTTTGTGTGAGTTCGTTGAGAAATCTCAATTCGTTGTCGATTGATTCAATAAGTAATTCCTTACGCGTTTTGCGTTTAGGATCTCCGAAAGCCACTGATTTATGCGATGAGGCCTTAGAACGTGCTGAGGCTTTGACTGAAACTTTATCTTTCGGATTTTCTCCTTTTTCTTTTTCTTTTAGCTTAACTTTCTTTTTGCTTTTATCTTCACCCTTTACTTTCTCATCATCCAAATCTTTATCTCTTTTCGTATCGCGTTTTGTAAGTCGCGCTGTGCCTTTAGTTGCAGTGCTATCAATTTGTTCGATTTTTAGCGATGAATCTAATTCTTCAGTCATTTCTTGGAAGGCTTCTTCCTCACCCTCCGGAAACTCATACTGATATAAGCGATAAACTTCACCATTATAACGCATCACCGTTATGAGTTCGTCGTTTTGGTAGTGCACAACAACAGCACCTTCGGTAATACACAAACGACTCTTTTCTCTATTGAACGAGTCTAGTATATGCCATACCTGTTCGACTTGATGCTCATTGTGATAGATGGTCAAACCATTGGGATAGTTTATAACAATTTTAGCGCATTCGTCCACAGTGTTTAGTATACGCAATGAGACATTATTTTTATTAGTGAAACGTAGACATGATGAGACTGAGGTGTTCCAAAAACGTGGTCGAAATATATTTAACAAAATGTCATTTGCATTTAACAATAGGTTTTTATTCATATCGGTGAAGCACCAACGTTCCTCGTACAATTCTACGCGGCCCTCTTCGAAATAGTATTTGGAGCTTTTTATCTGTATCTCCTGACGTACATCTTCGAGATTGTACCCTTGCAGTAAAGAATGATTGTAAGGTAATCCAGGCGCACCTTCCATATGTGAAGACTTCCTTTGCACGGACAACTCTGTCGGTCTCAACTGTGGCAGTAGTGGTGTTTGGCTGCCAACAGTTTGACTCAAGTGTGTTTCCATGTAAGCTTTGAACTTTTTCCATTTCAATGATGTCGGTCTTATAAATATCGACATATCTATGCCTTGATTATCCTTGTCCTTTTTACCTTTTTTCATTAAACTTTGCATGGACGTATAGCTTTGCTCGTACTGTGCCTGTATCATTTCGGGCGTGACTAAGGCATCAATGAACTCTTCCATTTGAAAGAGCGTAAAATCGCGAAAGCACAGAGGCGATGGCAAAACCACAACCTGTTGCTCTTCATTTACTTCATTATAGGCGCGTTTGAAGTGATACAATTTGCAGCCGGGCATAATTTCATCCACTTCGCAGGTGTTATACTCGTTGACCCATCTTTGTAAATGTTGCTTCACTATATTCTCGCCGAAGTACATTTTCGCATAATATGGTAACTGAAAGAAGTCTCTGTCCGATAATTCATGGTATTCTTGTACCTGGAAGATGTTTTTCAAACAACCGTTATCTATGTACGAACGCATCAAATTATATTCCAAACTCGTATAGTGCACCGTTTCGAATGAATCGATATTCGTGTAGAGCAGCAGTTCGTGCAGCAGCAAGTTATTGGCGGCAACGCATAAACGTTCAAAGTGTCGCACCTTCAAAATACTATCGAAAGCTGTCGCATAAACATCGCGTAGTTCTTGATTCAAGTCTATGGCGCTCGCCTGTTTGTAGGGCAAGGTGCTGATTTGTGCCTGTTGCGGCGTCAGCTTGCGCACGCGCTCCGCAATTTGATTGAGCAGCCCGTCAAAGTAGATGGCAACCGTTGCCACGTCGCTGGCTATAGCAGGCAGTGGCGCGGTTAAATAGGTTCCCTGCAAATCTAACGATTCGGCGGTCTCTTGTAGCGCCTCCACATTCACTTTCAATGGCATTTCGACATCTATGGTTTGGAATGGCTTTCTATAGTACTGTTCATATTGCTGCAACAGCACTTCGATGTCGAACAAATAATGACAGAGTTGTTCATAGATCTGGTTTGAGTACTTCTCAGCGAGGCAACGTGATATAACGGGTAAATAATGTTGCATATAACCCACTGGTTTTGTTAATGCCAATGCGCGCATTTCAAAGATATCCACCTGTATCTGCTCGATAATGCTCGCAAGTTGTTCTTTGGCTTCCGGATGTGGTAGCAACATGTCGTAGCCGCACTCCTCGGGCAGAAAATGTATGATAGCTTGGAGTGGTTCGCGAGCGCTACGTGGAAGAAACAAAACGAAAATTTGTATACTTGAAAGAATCGGTGGAGTTTAAAACTGTGTTATATGGAAAGTAGGCGGAGTTTCCTTCTGATTTCACCTCAATTTCATCCTTATCTTTCCCCTAAATTTCATCCTCATATTTCACCTAATTATGCTCGTATATGTATAAATATAATTTTCTAAGATAGTCGCTGTGCGAGTATAGAGAGATTGCTAAAAATATGTGCATCAACTGACATTTAGGTTGTTTTTAGAGATAAGAAGTTTCCTCGAGGGATAGTTGTCAAACTAGGTGTCAATAATGTTCAGTAAACTTTGGTAAATTTCTATGCATAGGCGTACATTTCCACAGTGTTTAAAAATCGTGGATATTTGTTTTCAAAATTCAGGATGAATCCTGAAGAGACCATCTTGAATTCCGAAAGAGTTAGAAACTAAGTTTGTAGCACGTCTAGGCATTTATTTGAATTTATTTGAATATGTAGAAAAATTCCAATACCTCGAAAGTAAACACCCTGTATGCCACTAGGTTATCAACATTATAACAAACTAACTTCCTTACCGTTATTGGATATACTACACACAACTGAAAGCCGAAAGATATGCAAATGCGAAAGTGTGACTATAATACTGGCACTTACGAGTAGTATATGCAAATCGCGTTAAGCTGCCTCAAGTTCTACGTTCAAGTAAGTAAGTAAATGCGTAGATACCGATATTACATTGCTTACATCCAACAAATAGTTCTACGCACATGTCGGTATGCCTTTCGGGTTGCTTGCGCATGTATGTGTGAATGTTTTGCAACTTGGAAATACCATAAATTCGAATGGTGCTACTGCAATTTTATATTGCACTTAAGCATGATGCATGTGTTGCAAGCTTTTTGATAAACTCTATACATCTTCCCATACATACTTGGCATACTCTTGGTATTTATACTCGAGTTTCCTTATAAGTTTGGAACAAGTTAAGAAATTGTTTGTGTGTTGCAAGTAATGTTAGAACCGCTTGGAAATGGTTATTTGAGTGAGTAAGGAAAACAGTAGCGCCGTTAGAGAAAATTTATCGGTTAAATTTTTTATGGGTTCTTGCTATTACAAGCAGAGGTGATATCTCTATTTTCGATAGCAAAGCCTTTTGGGGCCCTCGTTATTTAGATCCTAGAGAAAAAATATAGTGAAAAAGGTGGAGCTCTTCATTAAGTTTTAGAAAACCCGACCTTTTTTTCAATGATTCCTTTACAAAAAAAATTTGACTGTGTTTCGAAGACCATAGGATATCAAAGATCTTGTATCGGGTTGTTTTTGTTGGAAAAATATTTTTGGAAGCAAATTGTACGAAACACCCCTCTCTCCTGTACCACTGCTTGTGTTTTGTTTAAGAAACAGCTAACAGTGTCTAAGAATCGATTAATGTGTGAGAGTGCAGTGGATATTATTGACGACATTTAAAGTGCAATTTATTGTTTGTCAAGTTTTACGAAGTGTAACATTTGCATTTCCTCGCAGCTGACACATGAGCTTAAAATTAGTCCTAAAACTGTTTCAAAAGCTTGCAAGCGACTGTCAATGCCATTTGTGCGTTTAAACTTGTAAATCGTGCAATGCGTACTAGTAAACAAAAAAAAAATAAACTAATAAAATTATATAAATAATGTAAGATTTTCTAATTTGAAAAAGTTTCACATACCTCAAGAGTTTCACATAGAAGTCATTGTCCATATCGCCAATGAGGACTATGAAAATTTTCGAATATTCCGGTTCGTCTTGTATGTACTGCAAGAAAGACACACAGAGAGCGAGAGAGAGAGAGAGCTCAGGTTATTTTAAATATTATTCCCTGCCTCGCCCAGTTTTTTACCTTCCTTTTGGACAACGGCTCAGGCCGTCCAACTGTGTTGTGTTGCTTCGGCGTCAAATGTGGACATGTTGGAAATGATAACACGGACTTTTTCTTTTCCATCTCCACTCGTGACAACTTTGACGCTTTTGTTTGCTTCGGTGGTGATTTCGGTAAAACAGGTGTCTTTCTGGATGCCCTCTTGTTCGACTTACGCTGCTCTTTGAGTAATGTTGCACCGGTGGGCACATTTAGGTTATCCATCCAATAATCGATTAAACTGAATTTCTTCTCTTCGGCAATTATATGAGACGTACGGCGGTATTCGGCTAAACACTCTTCGATGGCCTCCATAGCGACGGTGTAATTGTCAAATCGTTTCGTATTGCGTACTAATTGCAGAAGATTGAAGGTTGTAAGTTTTCACAAGCAATTCAAACTCACCTTTTAGTGCCAGCTGCTTCGCTTCTTCTTCGAGATCAATTATGAAGATACGCCTGCGTAGGCCCGACTGCACGCGCTTTTTGAATTCTTCACATATTGAGTTTAAAGAATTCGTTTGAAAATTAATCGCATATAGCTTGTAGTCATGGAATTTATTTGCCTGCACCGATAAAAAAAATTTAAAATGAAAATGGTAATTGAAATCGAATTAAGGCTAACCAACCGATTGCGAATGGGTAAATCTCGTGGACATTTCACTTTTGTATAAAGAATTATTAGAAAAAATTGGTTGAAAATATATTTTTATATTTATTTTTTTAGTCTCTCAATTTCTGATGTCTTCAAAAGCTCTAAAAATATTTGACATTTATATTCAACACAAAATCAACACTAATATTACAGGGTTTCGATTCTCAAAAATAATGTGATAAGTCTATGTCTATATATCTCTTAGATAATTTAAATATAATTTGTTTTTAAAGAGAGCTGCTGTTCTTCTGGAAACTATAACCAGACGTTGGCCATAATTAGAAAATAGTCCAAACAGCTATTTTCATTCCGATACAACAATTAATATGTATACTATATATCTGGGCCACCGAAATCTAACCATCGTGTTTGACTCGTAAAAAGTTTAACTTTAGATTCCTTTTTGATTTTAGACAGTCCCTGATAAAAAAAAGCCTCGCTTAAAGTACTCGTAATAGCTGACTACTATTCAACACGCTCAGAGTGTGATGTTTTGCTTAGGAGAGAGAGGAAAAGTGAGAGAGAGAAAGCGAACGAGAGAGAGAGAGAGAGAAACTGTGATAGAGAAATAGTGAGGTAGTGAGAAAAATAGCGTGCTGTCACTCGACTTTTTTCTCATTGTATTTCTTGTTTTCATTGAAGGCAAGAAATAAGTTTGTAATTCACCACTGGTTTGTTTTAAATCTCTTCTAGAAATATAGTTTGGAAATTGACATTTCTTGGTTTAGGCGCGATTTTAGTATAACTTGTGGCTTGTGCAGTGGTTGAACAGATGGTTTCTGTAGAAAGCTAACAGTTTTAAGCTGTCCCTGAGCTCTTCATGGATTTCATGAAAAGATTTCTTTCAGAATTCTCATAATTCTTTTAATGGAAAATAAATGCAAAAAACTCCTAAAATCAAATACGAAACTTCTCACTCACGAATAACTAAGAAGCGAGCAAAATGCATTTGAAAGAGATAGGCTGACAGATAGACAACTAAATAAATATGTAAACAACGTATTTTGAATCAAGAGCCCAAGCAAAAAAGCATTAAAAAGCTTGAAGCAAATCAACACAAACAAACCATAGTCATATATCGAAGTTGAAAGAGTATAACGGGGTTGTCGAAGATTGGAGATTGGAGGAGGAACAGTGCCGAACAAACAAATCAAAGATATGCAAAAATGCTTTGCGGGCATTAATTGCATTTTACTGCAACACAACACTCAGATTGCACTTTCAATTAGACGTAGCAAGCGGAAGTTGAGTGTTATGCCACCACCTGCCCACCCTGAACGCCTGTCATATATTCTGCACTGGTACTATTTGTCTTGTCTACTGCCGTAGCCGTCAGCGTAGAATACTGCAGGCGCTATGGTGCGCTGAGGTGTTCCGATAGACGAAAGCGCGCCAAAGTAACAGAGCGGAAGTTTCGGCGTGGTAGATGCGGGGATGCAAGCAACTGCTTGGAACGGAAATGAGTAGCAACAGCATTTTAATTGAAAGGTGATGCCATATCAAATATTGCAAAACAACAAATGCGCTTATGGAAAGTGGGAAACAGTGGGAGGAAAGCAAAGAAACTGCTGCAGGGGAGTAATATTTGGTTAGTTGAATGTATGTGTTTGGCATTTAAATGCACTTTGAAACCTTAGAAGTTTCGGTTGCAATACTGCTTAAGAGTTTTCGTTGTATAGCTTCTGCTGCAGATTGTGTCGGGAGAGATGTTGCTTTACGTGAGTGTGCTGAAAGAAAATTTTACTATTAACTAAGGCACCGTTTGTTGTGTTTGTTTACAGTAAGGTTAATGCATTTCAAAATTGATTTATGACTTTTGCGGCTATTTCTTTAGCTTAGAAGACACAAAGCGGAGTAAAAGTTAATAATAATCATGCTTTTGAGTCACGCTGTGGGTTGAGTATAAGTCAAAGGTTTAATTACAGAATGCCGATGAGTTGGTAAAGTAGGTATTTGGGAAAATGCAGTTTAATGTAAAGGATGAGACAGTTGTGCGAGGCAAGTAAAGCAAAGTTGTTGTTGGGAATTGAGGGATAAGTCATAAATATCGTTGTGAAAAAGATATTTGCTTTTCAAAAATTCGGCGTATATGGTAAGATTATGAAAGTAATGACGTTATTTGCATTTTGGGAATTAAAGACTTTTCGAAAAGATAAGACCAAGTTAACTGCAGTTTGACAGAAAGCTTCTCATACGACTAACGCCTGTTGTTAAATCTTGTTGGTTTTGCTAGTCAAATGCTAGTTGAATAAGGGGATATAAAACAATCTTTATCTTGATTTGGATCTGTCAGTTTGTATGGCAGCTATATGCTCTAGTAATTCGATCTGAACAATATGAAAAATAATCTGTGCCAATTTCGCTATTGCTGCTGTGAAGCAGAGTATCGAAGAATATCAGAATTGTTTAAAACAAAAACAGCCTTAACTTTATATGGTCTCTGACGTTTCCTTCTGGCTGTTACAAACTTCGTGGCAAACTTAATATACCCTGTTCAGGGCATAAAAAGTGGAGAAATTCAACCAAAGAAGTAAAATTGACTAATATTATACTTTGTAATCTGAAACCCCACTGGGGCCCCCACAAAACTTATACCGGTTCGAACACCATAAAGAGAATTTGTTTATACAAGTAAATGCCGAATTCACCGAACCAATTCCCCAAATCGAGGTGACTTCGCTGTGTCGAGGACGAGTTGAAATATTTCTCGACAAAGCATACAGATTCTCCAATATTTTGGCTTCCAAGTTATTGCTAATGGTTAAAACTTAGTAGTTGCAGATAATTTCGCCTACCTTTGATTCAAAATCGACATCTTTTTCATTCAGCAAAATGAGAACTAAATCCGTTTCAGACAATCAAATCTTACATTACATACGGCTCTGCATGATGGTTATTCGAAAGATTTGTAGAGGTTTCCGCCTTGACAACGGCGAATATCGCTTCAGATGGAATAAAGATTTATGATGATATCAACAATTGGTGAGGATAGAAAGAGCGCGAGGCGTCCTACGTCTCGAAAAAACCAAGTGCGTCGGACTTGCGTTTTGATAAACAACGTGATCACTTAGTAAGAAAAATTGCCAGTAAACTGTTAAACAGAAAAGGTTTGTTCATTCTTATAGTTCTGAGGAAGCTTTAGAAGTAAACCCAATATATATTTTTATTATATGTATTCCTAGTGATTGCAACTAAAAGCGGAGCAATTCCTTTTGCTTCTTCCACTTAATACTAATTACATCGCAAAGAGTTGTAGTACCATCCAAACCTGCTTGAATGGTAGCCATTAGGTCTGAAAGCCACTTACACTTATTACGGTTACGCATGTCTACACAGTCACCATAAAGTAATTGTGCGAATGCCGGAGGGATTTACATTTGCGTAGGCAAATAAATGTCAGGGTATGCATGATATTCAGTCTAACCACATATCCCATTTCTAACACAACTCTTATATCATCAACAATCTGGATGCGCATCTTGAGCGTAATTTAAACAACAACAACTCAAAGTACTGTAGTAGTGCATGAAAAATGTGTGCGTTGCACAATTATGCGTATTGCCTTGCCGCCAACTAGTGCAGTAGTTAAGGACGCTGGTTCATATGCGAGCATGTAAATAGGTTTGCGTACCCAGGATCATTAATGAGCCACTAAACTTACCAGCAATTGAGTACTTTGCAAATAATTACGCAAGACTTATTAACTATGTGTGCATGAATTGAAGGAGTGAAATTGGGGTAGAGCACTGGGCTTAACCAAGTATGTTCAGGAAAAATTGTAAGTGGTAAAAAGATTTCATGTAAGAGAGGTCACGGTAATGCGGATTGGATGTACGTCATTTATGGTAAGTCAAGCGAATAATAGAAGTTGTTGGAGGTGGCAATATATAGTATATCAATATCAGCAACAAAATTATATATTAAAAATATTTCTATATATAATTTTATCTACGTGACTTCCTGAAGTATAATCTAAGCTAGCTATCGTTACTAACTAAATATATTAGAACTATTCTCCGCCAAACTGTGAATTTCCGCATGATTTTGTATTCTCGCTTAAATACCGGAAATATTCATTACCAGGCTAAAGGTTTAGTAAAATTTAGGGGAAGAGAGTGGGAGTTTTCAAGAAATGAGAGAGAGAGAGAGAGAGAGCTCCTTAAATGTACCCTATAACAAAAAGTCTCCTCATTTGATTACGCATGTCTGGGACACTTGCAAAAAGGACTACTTGTAAGAAAGACGCTAACCGGCGACCAAACTATTCTGGTACTGTCGTACTAATAATTAATATCTCAATTCTAAAAAAGCTTCATTCTAAATACTTAATTGCAGCATAGAAAAGATGGCTAAACTCACTGGAAGAGATGAGAAGGAATACTTCAATAAGACCTGAAGCAATTTCACAATGAATTTGCCAGAGACGTGCTGGGCTGACATTTTCTCTATTTTCAGCACAAAAACCGGCAGTTCTTTTATTTAAAAAGAGTGATAAAAGAGAGAAACGAAAGTCATTTGCAATTAGTGAATTGCCCAAAAAAGAAAAGACAAGTGAAGAAAGTCGAAAAACCAAGAAAGTAAACCAGCAAGACAACATCTCTTAATGACAGCGCTTGAAGATTGTGGATAAAATACTTTTGAAAGATTAATTTTTGTAAAAAGTCAAAAAAAGAGAAGAGGATGTGCTGAGAGCTCACCCAGTAGTTAGGGCAGACTGCCTAATTGTACCTTGCATACGTTGTTGAAGAAAAACGTGTAAGAAAAATTGCAAAAGCCAAAGTGTAAATATGGCAAATATACGATTTAGCACTGTTTACGCCTCTGAGAATTGCTCCAGAGGTGGTCAGAGGCTGTTAGAGTAGCAAAAAATTGTGACGTGAAAACATCAAAAATAAAAATGAAAGAAAGAGAAGAACTAACGCAAGGAGGTGTGACGAAGCAAGTTGAAGTGAAGTGACAGCAAAATTGAAACATAACAAGTGACAACGCTCAAACGCAAGCGGAAGATAAGTATGTAAGTATGTTTTCTCCTCACAGCTCTTTGGAGTTTTAAGATGGCTATAGTGGCCAGTATTCGTATATGTATGCGGTAAATGA